AACGTTTGTTGTCATGCGTTACTAACACATCCCTTTAGAAGAACACTTTAGTATGTATTACGACTATCTGATCCGATACAACACGATTTGGTATTATCTGATTTGATTGAAAATTTCAACGATGCAATTTGATATCAAGCGGTTATACGAATCTGATTCAAAAGTTTTGTTCTTGAAAATGAATACGCCTTAATATGCTTACATGATAGAATACTTAACGAGGGTTGTTCAAAAAGTTTATACACCAATTATGTATCAAAATGTGCTTAAATTCGTTGATATTATAACTTAGACATTCTATAAGTATATTTGTTTAAAATCAAAGTAAACCCATGACACAATTTTAAAAGACTTTTAGTACTAACCTCGTATTTTCCTACATTATATATACTAAAGTTAGAAAGTGTTAAATTAAGACGTATTTTTTCTCTAAATTTATCACCGAGCTCCAAACGAATGAGATAGACTCTACATGTGCAGACAGACGCCAACATTATGGTCCAGACTATGTCTGTGTCGTCATTTAGGACAACATCATCATAATATTGGGATGTTATGTTCATAACAAATATGCATTTTCTGTACAAATATATAGAAAAAATATAATGTCGTTATAATAACGAGTAATATGCATACAACAGGAAAATCCTTAAGAAGTATTTATGTACAACCAGCTTTTGGCAGCCAGTTGAGCAAACTGTGGTATTTTTTTTTTGTCAAACTTAATCTGCAGGATGTTGCATTTTGCCTTGACATTCACACTCTAATGCACATTTCGGGTACATAGTAAGAAACCACAAATTTGTTGATATTAAACTATAAAATATTTGTGTAAAATATGTGTGGAAGTGTAAAAAAGAATAAAAATATTTTCGGGTATAGAGAGTAGTAATGATTATTTTAAAAGAATTTAATAAAATAAGTAAAATTGTTGGTAAAATTTACTGATTACAAGGGCTTGCAAAGTAATTCGTTATCTTGAGGAAAATATTAGCTTAGTTTTTAGTATTGTTCGCTGCAAAAGGTTTTGTAAAGTTAACAGTCTAACCATAAATTGGGATGCAATTACCACACCATTGTATTTTTGAGGATTGCAAATTTACAACGCTTTGCTTCAATGTAAATTAAAATGTAGTAGCTTAAGGGTTTCTGAATACCTAGATGCTTAAAATTCCGTTAAATTTGAAATAAAATTTAAAACTTAAAAAAGTTCTCTCTTACGGCTACAAATATTCTTAAACATTATAGAAAACATCATCTGGTATTATAGAAATATTTACGTTTGAAAGATTTGTGTAAGATTTTTAAAATATATTTTTGTTTTTGCTAAGAATAATATTTCACAAAGTTATTTTTACAAAAATTATTTTAAACAACCATTGTTAAAAAGGTGTTTTCTATTCATCTTACTACATCGAATTCCTTAAAATACAAAGAATAATATTTATTTCTTTATGCAACAAGAACAACTACTTGTATGTAGTTAAACCTAATATGATTGAGCATTTCCCACGAGTAGTACTTTTTTCTACATACTTTCTAAAAATTCTTTTGATTGTCGGATAACACATACAACTGAACATATGGATTGAATAGGGTACAGTGGAGGTTAATAGTGACAGAAATGAATCTTGCATAAACTTCGATAAACTTCTATTTTTCTAGGAAATTTTCAATAAATTTCCTTTTTCTAGGAAATTTTCGATAAATTTGCTTTTTATAGAAAATTTTCGATAAATTTGCTTTTTATAGGAAATTTTTGATAAATTTGCTTTTTATAGGAAATTTTCAATAAATTTCCTTTTTTATAGGAAATTTTCGATAAATTTGCTTTTTATAGGAAATTTTCGATAAATTGCTTTTTATAGGAAATTTTCGATAAATTTGCTTTTTATAGGAAATTTTCGATAAATTTGCTTTTTATAGGAAATTTTCGATAAATTTGCTTTTTATAGGAAATTTTCGATAAATTTGCTTTTTATAGGAAATTTTCAATAAATTTCCTTTTTTATAGGAAATTTTCGATAAATTTGCTTTTTATAGGAAATTTTCGATAAATTTTGCTTTTTATAGGAAATTTTCGTTAAAATTTGCTTTTTATAGGAAATTTTCGTTAAAATTTGCTTTTTATAGGAAATTTTCGTTAAAATTTGCTTTTTATATGAAATTTTCGATAAATTTGCTTTTTATAGGAAATTTTCAATAAATTTGCTTTTTATAGGAAATTTTCAATAAATTTGCTTTTTATAGGAAATTTCGATAAATTGCTTTTTCTAGGAAATTTTCGATAAATTTGCTTTTTATAGGAAATTTTCGATAAATTTGCTTTTTATAGGAAATTTTCGATAAATTAGCTTTTTATAGGAAATTTTCGATAAATTTGCTTTTTATAGGAAATATTCGATAAATTTGCTTTTTATAGGAAATTTTCGATAAATTTCCTTTTGATAGGAAATTTTCAATAAATTTCCTTTTGATAGGAACTTTTCGATAAATTTCC